AGAGATCCAGGGGGACAAAGCGGGTAGCCTGATTCATTTCAACCCTTCATCTTCCAAACAAAAACGTACTCTTCCGAAGGCTGCATCATCTCTTAAAACTACAACATTAAATAACAATTGTACATATCCACGTCCACAAGGGTCGATCTCGCGTCTAAGACATATATGAGGCCGTATACACGGAGACTATGATTCTCTGCACACAAAGGGTGTCATATTCAATAAGTATTCTCTTATTTCTATTTACAGAGGACATCGTCTTATAACAATATCTCGACAGAAATCTTCGTGAATTCAGAGGGTCGGCTACTGAGGCGTCGAGACAGCGGTTTATGCATGGCTAACGTGGTTTGTCTGGTCGTGAGAGAGAACCTTTCACCGAGATCCCATGCCCCACCATTGTGTGTATGATATACGTAAAACATATAACAGAAACGTCTGAGCATTGTGTGGACTTGAGAGAAGTAGGAAACAGGACGGGGAGAGAGAGGGGGAGGGGTAGAGGGAGACAGATAGGATAGGTAGGGGGAAGGATACAGGTGTATTCCGTAAATTGTTGTGTTCCACCACTAGTTCTAACAACGCAGAAATAGCAACTGATGTTTTAGACGGGATGTCAAGAGTTGTCACATGAACGAACGGTTTTACCTCGGTCAAAAAATATGTGTACATATCATGCAAAAGAAATATGAACTTTATTACTTGTGTATAAATGGAGTTGTATGTTATTAAACCTTTCTGGTGGCTGCTGTGCTTGCAGTTAGTTCTGGGCCAGGAAATTTACACTACGGTTGCCATTTTAGGTCATTATGCCATTACATGGTAGTAGAATCTCAAGAGTTCTCCATTACGTCATGGAAAGGGCTAAGGTAGCACCAATGGTAAGCGTTCGCTTGTCCGTATGGAGTTCGATTCCCAACACATGATCACGAAGTAAAGCCACATTTGGGTGTCCCCGCTGAGGCATTGCTGGAGTATTGACACACATATCATAAACCAACTAAGCGCTCCATAATATTGAAACCTATTACTGCAAACGTGTAGATGATGTGTTCAACCCTAGCTCTGTAGAAAAGCATGTCTTGGCTATGCTAGTCGAATGGATCCATTGTGTGAAAATCAACCACAGCTGGATGTGCCGATATGAATACTTAAGAATGCTTTCAAAGAACGATAACATGTCCGAATAGCAGTCAGTCATGGGATATTGCCATGTCGACTAACTGGCCGGTCAGCGTGGACTGTTATTCTTGGTAAGGCTGTGACAGTGAATGTTGTATGTCCAGAACCCGAATACTTGAAGCAACCAGTGTCATAAATCTTCTGTATGAAACTGTTTGCTTAAATAATAGATGTCCAACATGCGTTGATGAGCCTCAGACGAGGCATGGATGTTTTCTGTAGGATGTATATATACTGTAAGTCGGAATTGACCTTTCCAGCTAGAAATCTGAGTATGGACACCATGAATAATTAATAAGTGAAGTAGACATACTCAGTATCTCGACCACTGATCCACCATTAGTCCAGCTGTTCACAGCATCCTCTCTATCAATATGAACAAACACAAGACAGACGAGGTACTCAGGGAAAGCAAGTGTTACCGTGAAACCAACCATATTATCAAATTACTTATTGATGAAGACAATCAGGGATGGTGTATGCTACAATGTAATCGTGAATGTTTTCTCCACACACTATGACATGTAATCGACTGGAGTCTTGTGCCTGCTCTAAGGGCCGTCCGAGATGACACGGTATGTTTGATAGGAAACACGTTAAATGTTTCTAAAGATACACTTGCAAGCGTCATAGGAAGTAATCAAACTTATATGCGTGTCTTTGTTCTGATTGACAATGGTTTCCGTGTTGAATCAGTGTATACACGAGGGACAGGGTGTGCCCGGTAAGTCCGGAAGCTGCCAGTGAGGGACAGCGGGAGACCACTGCGGCAGACCTGGCTGGGCTGCAGTGACGTAACCAGGTTAATGATGTAATCCAGAGGAACCGAAAAACGGTTTCAGATGTGAAATGACAGTGTATTGCGGCATTAAGCCTGTTATTCAACATAACGACATCATACCTGGACGATAGGTACAGCTGTACCACCACCACCCGCCCCCCAACAGACACACACACACACTCTATGGTGGTCCCAGCTTTCACTGAGTTAAGGTAATAAGTGAGTCATGGCGATATACGCGATATATTAATTGTTTCATTTCTCTGTCACGCTTTAAGGATAGTTCGCGCACGGGTGTAGTACAATGTACCACATGTCTGACCAAAACCCTCACAGCACCATCACATCCTACTGATCCAACAGCGTGGCCGTGCTTCAGGAACCTTACGCACTATACATCCTGTTACTAGGCGTAATTCAAATTAAACTTTCATATTACAATGTATTATATACACCATCCCAACCGTCGTACGGATACTTGTCACTGGGATATGTCGCGGCGATGTTCATCACCTTGGTGCTATGATACAAACTGTCGATGTCCGAATGACACCTTCCAGCGATAAGTTATAAGTGGCGGTTCCAGCGACTGACTTCTGGATATTCATCAGCATCCCAGCCACGTCACAAACCCAACTGGGTTCGATTTTAAAACCCTGGATGACCCAATGGACCGTAGCCTTGTTGAGAGTCAACCCGATTAGGCAACATGATTGTTTGATATACGCCATACTTGCGTTGTGCCATACTTACTAAAAGTCGGGTACAGTACTCCAGTCACGTCACCGCTAAGCTAATTAATGTCATTTATTGATGCAACCATCAACAGAGGCAACATAACTGATACGACTGGCAGGGTATAGATACTGTATATTGTGTTTTACAGATTACGATGAAAACGCAGCAAAGAGGGTTCGGGTTTTATCATTATCATCATTATTATTGTGATATGAGTCAGAGATATTTAACGTTCGGTTGTTCATATACATACTTTGGAATGAACAATGTAACTGAAGACGGATTTGTATCTCTGCATTAGATAGGAACGGTACAATGGCACCGAGTTTACAAGCAACCCTTGTTAACCTCTCATAGTTGCGAAACAACACACACGGTTGTTGCCTTTCGCCTTCTGGCGGCCATGTTGTATTACTTCACAGGTTTTGTTTTACATGTTCTATGTGTCATATCGCCTTGAGTTATGCTTGATTAACACTTATTACGTCAGCTCGAATCCAGTCAATCCCGTTTGTCAGAATAGTGGTTACCTCGGTTGACTCAGATGACCCATACGTCAGTAATTAGATCCTCCTCGTGTAGCGCATGCAACACCATGCAGCCATAACGGACACCATGTGACTGTCTGCTTGTGTCACCTCAATAGTTGCCTGGTGACCACATATGGTTTCGGAATCCCCTATATCATACTGATGTTTTACCCGGTCTGTGATCAGACACATGGTGATAAGCAGTAGGATCAACTGACTGACTGACTGAGTTTGGTTTTACACCGCTCTTAGCAATATTCCAGCAACATCACGGCGGGGGACACCAGAAATGGGCTTCACACAATGTACCCATGTGGGGATTCGAACCCGGGTCTTCGGCGTGACGAGCCAACGCTTTAACCACTAGGCTACCCCACCGCCCCAGTAGGATCAACGAGCCATGCCCTAAGACGTAATACCTATTTGGAATGAAGTTTCCAACACAATTGCATTGGATTCTACAAACAAATCTGAGTGTGCTGTGTTATCTATACATTACTATGTACATCCGTCTCCAGAGCACATCCTCAGAAAACACATGCTTATACCATAGCTAAATAGAAGAAGCAAAAGTACATCTAAAAAGCACAACCTTCAACAAACATTTCTTGCCGCAACCGCGGGGCATACATTATATTTCCCTGTAGATATCACGCAGTACTTGGCAGCAATATGACGGACTCTAATGTATCAGCATGGCAGAGTCCAACACGATGGGGAGGACGGTATAAACACTGCCAGTAGTTTGGTAACAGGGTTTTAAGGAGAACCTGGTTCACGTGTGTGATGTTGAATGCACTGGGCTGACACCAGAGCATGGCGACTTCCACGTCGTATATGTCATCGTGACGTCGCTTCCACAACGTCCGCGGTGACGATATTGATGTGTTCAAGGTGACACGTGGACGGGTAAAGATGGTTATAGTCAAGTACTCATGTTCGGGAAAGTGATGATTTACTGGTAAAATGTGTTCATTTTCTCAAGCTAAGGGAAATATGTACAGTGGGAATCCGTAGCGATATTACAGTTTCGTGTTTTATGCACTTGTTTAACGGAGGCAGGGGGTGTCCTTATGTCACCCCTAGGTGTTTTAAATAGCATTTAAATAAACACCACAGAGAATTCTAAATCAAACACGTTGAAGCATAATCCTTTCATTGCACCCCTTGCATTGAACGACATTGAATAGATGGATGTCAATCTAGATAACATTCAAAGAAGGGTGTTACATCACACTGACGTCACTAAAGTCAGCAATGAAGGAGAAACAGCTATGAATTAGAAACAACATGCACTTTCCATAAGAAATAAAGGAAGGAAAGTATGTATTTAACCCTGATCACATATCAGTTGTCATCCATGAACAAGTATAGTCTGTTTCGTTATCCCTCAAGACAAACTGAGGACAAGCTCAGCAAAGAGGTAGGCTGTTAGTATTACATACATAGATACACATCTGGTCCCGGCTTCCCGCAACCTGGACTACATGAAGCACTTTAACACACAGACACCCCTTGGTCAGCGAGTGCTTTTCTTCTAGGACAAAGGCTGTCTCTGATATTCCTAATCAAAAACGAACGTATGCTAGTGCCCATATCAAATGATAAAAGGTTTGGGTGCTCAAATCTTTGATTACATAACAAACACTGATGTGTTGCACTTTAGCGCCTGCATACAATGTGTTCAATGTGCTAAGTTTAAACCACAGGTCCGTGGATTGCTCACTTCCGTGGACAAACAGCTTGAAAGTGAAAAAAGATAAACTTACCGGTCGCCATAGCAACAAAGGGAACCTGTTGGCAACCAGGGCCGAGACAGTCAGGTGGAGCACAGGTAACAAAAATCCCAAAATTATCGCGACGAGGGACCTTATAGGCATCATTGCGTATATCATGAATATGACATACACGGTCTGCCATACTCCGTCTGCTAGGTTCTTCTTTGGGCGTGAGCGATCAGGTATATCCAATCCAAAATCCAGGGGCAGAGATGAGATGGCAAAACAAATTAATAACAGGAGCACAACGTAGCACACAACGGGGAAGTGAATCTCCTTCATACAGCGGGTATTAATCAGTATCAGCAAACCTAAGAACACGGCAAACTGTACAGTGAGATACAGTGCCTCCACTGTCACATATTTTGCATAGGAAAAATCCAGGATAGCTAAGCATAACGAAAGGAGTATAAACAGCACCAACAAGTACCCCAGGGCAGATTGTTGAAGCTTATAAACGTATCTCCCATACAGATGCTCCAACTCGTCACAATGGAAGTGATAACGACTGAACAGGCGCCGGACTCTCGGTCGCCGAGATGTCTTCAGCATGGGGGTATTCTCCATTTTGAAGTTTATTCCTTAGAAACATACAACACTATAATGAATCCTCTAACTGTGAGTCAGACATGGTCCAGGTCAGTACAAACGTGGCTGTCTACATTGCCCTCACAAAGTTTCTTGAAGTAATCCAACTCGAGCCCACGAACTCCACCGCGCACGGAGACTGTAACTCACTGATGTAGTTCCCGACAGAGAATGCTAGTCCGGCAAATCACAACTGTAATCTTCTTTCTGGTATCCCGCGCACTCGACCAACACACATGTCACTGACTGGCGATGTTCGTAGAGAGAGCAGACGATACATTTGAGCTGAGCAGACGACAAATGGATAGAGAGAAAAGGCGAGAGAGCGCCACGGTGCGAACGTGCAACAGGCCTTTCGTTTGCAGACTGGGTTGGTTGTGATGGTAGATTCAGTGGAACTACTGTTAGGTGGATCGAAAGCTAGTCACACCGCTCTCCATTGTGCAGGGGCACGCCAGGCTTCGATACAGATATGCTCAACACTCTTCCACTACAGTCAGGGCCCAGAAGCACTGGAGGCCCAAAATAGACATGGGTGACGTCACACGTGAGAGTTTCCCTCTCTGTCTCCCTCCCACCGGTTAAGACCACGACCCTGGAGCGAACTGTGAATACCTGTGCCGGGGATGCACGGTGGAGGAGTTGCTTTGTGGGAGAGAACGTCCCACTTTACAACTTAATTAGCCCTCATTACAAAGCCACAGGCCGTGGACAACCCCTTTGAGACTGTAATGATGGTCGTCCTTCACTTTCGACGGTCTCTGGCTCTGCTTTGATTACGTACCTAGCTGCAATAGCAGTGAGATAAAATTACCAGTTTTGTGGCAACACAGCCGTAATTTTCCGACTGGCCTTCAGCCTAAAGTGAGGGTATTGATCATAATGAGTTTCAGAACAATTCCAACTTTTTCTTCAAGCAGCCCTATCAACAGTGATTCGGAGTATAAAAACATGGATCTGCGTGGTCGATTAAGCAAGGATGTTTGTGATTTCCGATCCACTGACGTTAAGCCTTTAAAGTGATGGCGATACTTCCATACGCAAGTGTTTCAGAGTGGTACAGTTTGATAAAGATGTGCTATGTCAAGCTTTATGAAGCATAAGACAAGGGGTGCATGGGAAGAATAGTCGGGTGTGGATGTTACTGACGGGTCGGGTGTGAGTGTTACTAAGGGGTCGCTTGTGGGTGTTACTGTGGGGCCGGATGTGGATGTTACTGAGGGGCCGGAAGTGGGTATAACTGAGGGGTCACTTGTGGGTGTTACTGTGTGTAGGGTGTGGGTGTTACTCTGTGTGTGTGTGTGTGTGTGTGTGTGTGTGTGTGTGTGTGTGTGTGTGTGTGTGTGTGTGTGTGTGTGTGTGTGTGTGTGTGTGTGTGTGTGTGTGTGTGTGTGTTACTGTAAGGCCGGATGTGTGTGTTACTGAGGGTGTGGGTGTAACTGAGGTGTGGGTGTTAATGTGGGGTCGTTTGTGGGTGTTACTGTGGGGTATGGTGTGGTGTTACTGAAGGGCCGCGTGTGGATGTTACTGTGGGGTATGGTGTGGGTGTTGCTGAGGGGCCGGGTGTGGATGTTACTGAGTGGTCGGGTGTGGGTGTTACTGAGAGGTCGGGTGTGGGTATTACTGAGAGGTCGGGTTTGGGTATTACTGAGGAGGTCGGGTGTGGGTGTTACTGAGTAGTCGGGTGTGGGTATTACTGTGGGACCGGATGTGGGTGTTAGTGAGGATGTGGGTGTTACTGAGGTGTGGATGTCAATGTGGGGTCGTTTATGGGTGTTACTGTTGGGTATGGTGTGGTGTTACTGAGGGGCCGGGTGTGGATGTTACTGAGTGGTCGGGTTTGGGTATTACTGAGAGGTCGGGTGTGAGTGTTACTGAGTAGTCAGGTGTGGGCATTACTGTGGGACCGGATGTGGGTGTTACTGAGGTCGTGGGTCTTACTGAGGGGTTGTTTGTGGGTGTTACTCAGAGGTCGAGTGTGGGTGTTACTGAGGGGTATGGTGTGGGTGTTACTGTGAGGTATGGTGTGTTGTTACTGAGAGGTCGGGTATGGGTGTTACTGATAGGTCGGGTGTGGGTGTTACTGTGGGGTATGGTGTGGTGTTACTGGGGACGTGGGTGTTACTGAGGGAGGGATATGGGTCTTACTGAGGGGTTGCTTGTGGGTGTTACTGAGAGGTCGGGTTTGGATGTTACTTTGGAGTATGGTGTGGTGTTACTGAGGGGTCGGGTGTTGGTCTTACTGTCGGGTGTGGGTGTTACTGAGGGGTCGGGTGTGGGTGTTACTGATGGGTATAGTATGGTGTGGTCTTACTGTGGGGTCGGGTGTGGGTGTTACTGAGAGGTATGGTGTGGTCTTACTGAGCGGTCGGTGTGGGTGTTACTGAGAGGTCGGGCGTTTGTGTTACTGAGAGGTCGGGTGTGGGTGTTACTGAGCGGTCGGATGTGGGTGTTACTGAGAGTCCGGGTGTGGGTGTTACTGAGAGTCCGTCGGACAAAGACACCGGCACAACCACATCCACGGATGGCCGGATGGACACCGGAGCGGACCGGACGGCCAGCACGAGACCCGAGGCAGCACTGAGCCGGCCGGCACACTGAGGAACACAGCACAAGGAACACTGAGGTCTCAATGGTGGCACGAGGAAAGCGGATGGGCACGGAGGTCGTGAACACAAGGAAGGAAAACAATGGACAGCACACAGGACACACTGACACACGGAGAACACGAGGCACAGTGGCCCCACAGGAAGAACACGAGCACGGAGGAAGAGGACACCGGAGGTCGTGGTGGAAGGAATGGACACACTGAGGGGTCGTGGAAACAGGCACAGGTATGGTGAAACACTGGAGACACTGACACACTGAGCCGGACACCGAACACTGACACACTGGCCACACTGAACGGCCCACTGAGGTGGATGGAAGGAACACACACTGACACACACGAGGATCCCAGAACAACGGACACACAGACACACTGACACACACTGGACACCGGAACACACACCCAGCACACACAACGGTGACACAGCACGAGGAAAACACACACACACACACAACACTGAACACGAGGAACACACTGAGGAACACAGGCACACCGGACACACTGACCAACACTGCCCACACACGGACACCGGAACACACTGAGGGCACACACACTGAGGCCCACTGAGGGACGTGGACAAGAAGAACACACGGAACACAGCACTGAGGAAAATAATGGACGGATGTGGCACGAGAAATGGAAGAAACACAATGGATAATGGAAGAAAGACAAATGAGCCGGACGGAAGAAAGCACGAAAGGAATGGATTGAGGAAAATGGTGAACATGGAGGGTCGGGTGATGGTTGAAACACTGAGGAATGGATGGAGGTCGAAGAAACACGGAGGGGTGGAAAAGAATGGAATGGATTGAAGAATGGAGAGTGGCACGGAGGAACACGGAGGTGGTTGGGGACACAGGAAACACGGAGGGGTCGGATTGGAAAGAATGGAGGAGTGGAATGGAAGACAGGAAGGAATGGAGGAAATGGAGGAATGGAAGAAAGAATGGATGGAGGGAAATGGAAGAACTTTGGTCGAGTGTGGTGGCATGGAGGAGTCAGGAAGGAAGAAAAGATGGAGGAATGGACAATGAGAATGGTGAAACAATGGAGGGGTAGGGTGGATGAATGGAATGGAATAGGGGTCGGGTGTTGAAACATTGTGGAAGAATGGAGAGGTGGAGGGGTATGAAAGAATGGAGGAGTGGATGGAGGTCGTGGTGGAAGGAAGGGGGGAAGAAAGAATGGAGGGGGGGATGGATGGAATGGAGGGATGGAAGAGAGTGTCGGGTGGAAGGCATGGAGGGGGTGGAAGAATGGAGGGAGCCCAGGGAAGAATGGGATGGTCCGGGTGGTACACCGGAGGGATCCGACGTTTAATCGACATATTTATCAATCGATCCATTGTTTAATCGATATATCTGATATGGATAATTGTATCGGTATTTTACCGATAATCGGATGGCGTTAATCGAGGATGGACGTTAACGACGTTACCAGGGTATGGTATCCATCGAGCGAATCGGTATGTTAATTTAGATATCGGGTGTTGGTGTTTAATTGGGGTCGGTATGATTGATGGTCCGTGGTAACCGGATAATCGGACGTAGATCGTTAATCGATAATCGAGGGTATCGAATCGATGGATCGATCGAATATCAATTCGATATTTCGATCATATCAATCGATAATCGAGATATGATTGACCGATAATCGATATCGATCAATCGATGAGCCGACGACCGATCGATATTGACCGACCGATATCATGACGTTCATCGAGGGACGGATCAATCCAATCGATGGATCGACCGATGAACGGATCGATATCAATCGATGGATCGAAGATCGATATCGTTAATCAGATCCGGGTATGTCGATCGATCCGGTATAATTGAGGGAGATCGAGGGTCCGGTGAAGATTGACGGAATCGTCGTTCATCCGATATCATGTCGATGTTACCGATATTGATAATGGATACCGGTATTTTACCGATAATCGGATATGGTGTAATCGATGATGGATGTGGGTGTTAATCGAGATCGGTCGTTAATCGTGGGTATGGTGTGGTCTTAATCGATGGTCGGTATGTTTAATGATATCGGTATTATGTTAATTGGGGATCGGTGTGGTACATCGATGGTCCGGTGGTAACCGAATCGATTTAGATGTTATCGATAAATATGGAAGACCGAGGGTAGATTCAGAATCGAGGGATCGTATCCGATCGGTTTGGCGTTAATCGAGGGATCGGTATTGGTTGATCAGGTATAATAATCGAGATATATGTTACCGATATGGTGTCAATTGAGGTCCTGATCATCGAGGATGGATGTATGTTAACCGATAAATTGATGGGTATGTTACCGATATAAACCATCGTATCATGATATTATGTTAATCGATGGACGGACGGTATCCGACCGATGAGATGGATCGATATCGGTGAACGTTCACCAGGGTATGTCAATCGATATCGATATGTTTAATTGATATGGTATTGTTAATTGAGGGTCCGGTATTGAATCGATATCCGGCGTTAATTGATGGGATCGGATCGTCGGTATTGACTGATATCGGTATTGGTGTTGACCGATATCGGTCGTATATTAATCGAGGATCCCAGTATATTAATCAGGGATCCGGTATTATTAATTGATATCGATTGTCGTTAATCGATATCGACGTTTTGATCCGATCCCGGTTAATCGATAATCGTCGAAGATCGATATTGATTCGACTGATATCAATCGATTTATCGATCTTTGATCGATATTAATCGATATCGATCGTCAATCGATATCATTAATCGTATAACGAACATTGATACCGATGATATCATTCCATGTTGATGGATCATCGAGGGTATCGACCGATATGAATCGAGGGATCGATCGTTGGTGTTCAATTGAGGGATCGATCGTTAATCGATCCGATCCATTGAATCGATATCGAATTGAGGGATCGAATCGATCCAGTTGATGTTTACCGAGGGTCATGGGTGTCAATTGATATTGATTACCGATCATCGAGGGTCCGATCGTCGACCGATCCCGGAGGTTATTAATTGGATCGATCGTCAATCGATATTGAATCGATATCGGATCAATCATCGATTATCGATCGACCGAGATATCGACGAAACACCGATCGGGTTAGTGTTAATCGATATTGAAGACCGAGGGTGGACCGATATCTGATTGACCGAG